CAGCACGTTAAGGACAGAGATCCTACATGAGGAGTAAGTGCACCGTGACTCCTGTTGTTGACTTTACAAATTGACACTCCTGTTTATGGCATCAGTAATCTCCCTATGCACCAGTCATGAGTTTCCAAGGCTATGGAAGCCCCTTGAGTTCTCCGACTCTTATCTTGTTTAGACACGGTCATAGTCAAAGTGGAGGTTCTCTCCTCCCTTCAGAGAAAGGCACCTCCCTCTTTGAAGACCTCCACAGGATCTTTAAAACTATGATGATTTTGGATCTGAATTACCACCATTGAGACTAGAAGGGAGGGTCCGTAAGTCCTCTGCCTGTCCCAGCTAGACAACATTCCCAATACGCAGGATCCTGCTGTAATGATACATAGTAACTTCCGCGGTCTGTTCTTATGCAGTAGAAAGCCTCTTCCCAAAATTTAGCTTTCAAAGAGCAGACCCAATAAGCATGCTGTAAACTTAAGTGCCTGTGCCTCGCCTAAACAAAAATTGGAAAACTTGGAATATGCCCCTACTCAGCGCACAACGTGTGCATGCGGATGCCTGTGTGAAGTTGAGCATGCCCCTTATGCAGATTCATTCATCATTCAGCACCCCCACTCTGTGTCTTCCATTTTGTGCCGTCATCATTGTTCCTCAGTACCTGAGAGACACCCGGTAGGCCCCCAAATGGGTTTTCTCAGATATTTAAGTGTTGTTGTGAGGAGAAGGAAGGAGGATTGGGGTTGGCGGCAGTTAGGTACTGTATGCGGCAACAGTACCCTGAGACCCTGGCCCTTCCCCTAAGAGGGCGCTGTCCCTCGTGCCTTGTCCTCGTGGTGTGGTCAGAACTAGGGAGGAAGGTGTGTCTCGGGAAAGTGGGGTCAGGTGTAGATGGTGGGAGGGTTGGGGATGCTGTTGGAGGTACGGGAGTCCCAGGGCCTCTGGCAATGGCTCCCGGAGGAGAGATTCACAGTCTTCTTGGAGCCGGGGCAGAGAGTGTGATGGGTCGTAAACAAACCTACCGGAAATGGCAGACACTGTGGGATGGGACTGTGCACCCCTTATCTGTAGAGAAGCCGACAGCAGTGCTAAGGGCAGAATGCTCATCCCACTCTGTCATCTTCTCACGGACCATGAAGGAATACACGGAAGGACTGAGGCAGGTGGTGCTTTCCAGTATAAATTTATTTTTGAGGAATTGGGCCTACTGCGTGGGGAAAAAGCAATATACACTCAGAATTTCATTCTTTGGCAGTATTTTCCTAAAGCCTCAATGATGGAGAATCTGGTTGTACAATCAAATCTCATCAGAAGTTCTTGATTTCATTATCCATGTGTATTATGGTCATTTCTATGCCTGCTTGGCTCTAATGTAGATAAATATGTAATTGATGTGATTAGAAACTGTCCATTATGTAATTTATCTGGGACTTTTTTTTTTTCAAAAAAGGGTATCAAGATTTTAAGAGTGCAAATTTGGTTTGGAGGTGCTCATCTGTAGCTGCTTTTGTACATGCATGTTTCAAATCACAATATTCTATTTTAAGTGAGAAATATGAGTGAATATTCAAACACAAAGTCAAAATCCAGAAAAAAACCAAAGGATCAGGAGTCTTCCCAAGATACTGAATGCATGAGTGTGAGTGTTTCAACATTCCTTGGCTTCTACTTCAACAAATCATTTTCTGTATCTTTGAATTAGAAGATTCACAGTGATCAAATCTTCCACTCTAATTAAAATGATATTGCAATTAACTGAAGGAACATTGATTGTGGATGATTACTTTTTGTGTTGCCAAGATTGATATGCTCTGATGTTCCCCTGACTTAGCCCAAGGAATTTGTTCTCAAGTTCTTAACAAGGGATTTCAGAGTTTATCCCAACAAAGAGGCAAATAACATTCAAAATCATTTAAGGATGACTTTTGGTTGTAAGATAGATTGTTTTGGGAAGTCTATCAATGTTATTTCTGTTGATATGTAAGGGAGCATCAAAAAGTTCAAGGAAAATGGAATTAAAGGATATTTTTTCACCATTTAAAACTAATGAAATCCATGTATACTTGATTCAGAAAAAATTCATGTAAAATTCGTATTTTTAAATGCAATCTTGAGTTTTCATATTGGCATAAAATTATAAATTTATCTTTTAATTTAATGTTCCAAGAAATTTTTTTTTGTAATCTGGCACATATAAGTAAGAAAATAACTTTAGTCTTTACAACTGTTAGGTGTGAGCACAGGGAACATATATGTGTAATCTGTAAATTTCTCATATTAACGCTGTATTTGCACTCTCACAACCCTAAACCCAGGAGCAATAAAGAAAAACTGCCAGTAGATGAACCATCATCTGAAAGTTGGGATATTCTGAGTACTCAGATTATTGAGTGTGAACAAGTAATGGATGTTCCAAGTGAAAGCAGAATGAAAGAAAATGCTTGTGGGTGGTGTAGGTGTATCTCTGCCTCATGTATTATGATATAGTGATAGCAGTACAGTGCTCAGAGGTGAACTGGGTAAAGGATCAGGAGAGTGATGGCCACACCAACTGGAAACTAGGGACGCTGTGATGTGGGAATATGTACTAAAGATTTGTAAGGCGTCAGGCAGTGGTCTATAAGCACCAGTGGTGTTTAAGTAGGCCCACTACACTCTGTCACAACTTCTTATCTGTGCTGTGGACTGTGAAGGAACAGCCACAAACAGTGAGCAAAGGATTGAGGGAGTCTGTGCTCTCAAGAATAAGTTTATTCGGGGGGAATTGAATGTAATGCATGGACGGAAGCAGTATGGACTCGGGATTTGACTAACAGCAGCAGTTTCCTAAAAGCCTGCATGATTCAAATCTGTTTGTTCAATCCAACCTTGTCAGAAATATTTTATATCATTAGCCATGTGGTTTAAGGTGATTTCTATGCCTGCTTCGCTATGATGTAGACAAATGTGTAATTTGCTTGGTTGGAAAGTGCACGTAATATAATTGCTCTGTAATCTTTTTCAAAAAAGGTTTGAAAGTTTCCCAAGACTGAATTTTCTCTGGGATTGCTCATGTGTAGCTCCTTTTTCACATTAATCTTTCAAATCACAATATATTAATTTCAGGGAAACATATGAGTGGGCATTGGAGAACAAAATCAAAATCTGAAAAAATAAGAAAATGGTGGACATCTTCCCCAGAGGTTGAACATGAGATTGTGAGTGTTTCAAGATTTTTATCTCATACTTCCAGAATTTACATTCGGTAATATTATTGAATTAGAAGAAGTACACTGAACAATTGTTCCATAATAATAAAAACAATATTGATATCCATTGAATTGAAAGAAACACTAGTAGTGGAAAAATATTTTCTGGAGTTGCCAAGAACGAACTACTCTTATGTTTTCTGTAATTACCAAAATAACTACTTCCCTTGTTTCTTAATAATGGGTCTCATAATCCATTTGAGTATAGATTCAAATAACTTTCAAAATCCTTAAGGATGACTTTCTAATAAGGTATATTTTGTGGGAAGAGTATCAATTTTATTAAAGGTTGATATTTAAGGAAAATACAAAAATTTCAAAAAGAATGGAATGAAAACAATAGTTTGTTCTGTTGAAAAAAATGAAATGCATGAATACGTTGTTCATAGAAAATTCATGGAAAGACTGCATTTTTAAATGTGTTCATGTATGCATTTCCACATAAGTGAAGCAGGATATACTTGCATTTTATTTCGATATCTCGTGAGATTTTGTAGAAATCTGGTATAGATTAGTTTGAACAATCCTATAATCTTAATTGTGGTGAATTGTACACTCCCAGACACACACACACACACACACACGCACACATATTTCTGCTTTTAACTCTGTATGCTTACAACTCTAGGTCCAGGAGCACATTGAAGAACAATCTCCAAATGATGCAACAACATCTGAGTGTGAGGATACTCCAAGTACTCAGGAAACTGAGAGTGATGAAATACTCCAGGTGAAGTGATAAGAAAGAAGAATGATTATGAGAGGTGTAGATGTATTTCTGCATCACATATTATGATTTAACAGTACAGTAGTGCTCAGTGGAGAAGCAAGCGGAGGATGGGGCAAGTGATGAACAAGTAAATTGGAAACTAGGGATGTTATGTTGTGGCACTGTGCACTTTGAGATTTGTAGAGCAGCAGGCAGCAGTGCATACCAAGTGGGCCCACCAAGTTCTGTCACAACTTCTCATCTGTCTATGATCTGTGAAGAAACAGCCCAGACAGTAAGGGAAGCATTGAGGGAGCCTATTTCCTCCAGAGTAAGTTAGTTTTTGACAGGGGGAGTATTGAATGCTCTTAAAACTGAAATGGACTTACCTTTAAAACAAGAAAGGTGACCTAACCACAGTGTCCTCTGTGACAGACACAGGTTCTGCACTAGCATTCTTCTGAAGGACATATTGCTACATTGGAATGGCCTGCTCGTCCTTGCCTAGACATCTCCAATCTTCAAATGAGGAAATCTAAGGTTTAGATCCATCTGCCTCTGTGGGCGAGGGTCCTACACAAGTTAAGAGTTCAGTGGGAAATAATGGGAAACTGCAGTTCTCATTTTGGTGATTGTGTTTGTGTATGTGTGTGTGTGTGGGTGAGAGAGAGAGAGAGAGAGAGAGAGAGAGAGAGAGAGAGAGAGAGAGACTCTTTGTCCATGCACAGATAATGGTGCCAAGCACAATCCTTGAAATCCTAATGATTTTGAATCTGCAGTTACCACCACTGACACTGGAAAGTAGGGTCCCTACGTCATGCTCATCAGAAGGAAAAGGTTCACAAAATATGTGACTATGCAATAATAATAAATAGCACATCTTGCTATTCGTCCTTGTGCAGCACACAGTACTCCTCTTAAGAGCCTTTCAAAGACACAGTAAACCTGCCCGGAACCAAAATACTTGTACCCCGCCCAAACAGAAATCTAACACATGGATCATGCCCCAGTCAGTGCGCATGTTTATTGGTTCATATGCCCACAATGCGCATGCTCTAGGTTGCCCAAGTTGCGCATGCCCCTTGTTAAAGAGGTGTCGGTTGCTGCGCATGCGCATGAGGATCTGCAGGCACCGCTCTTACTGTTGACGGGAAGCAGTGTCTTCCATTTTGTGCGTCTTCATTGTTCTTCAGTACCTGAGAGACAGCCGGTAGGTCCCCAGATGGGTTTCACAGAAATTTAAGTGAGGGTGTGAGGAGAAGGAAGGAGGGTTGGGGTAGGGGTCAGCGAGGTACCTTGTGCGGTAGCAGGAGGGACGCCGAGACCCTGGCTCTTCCCCTCAGGGGGCGCTGTACCTTGTGCCTTGTCCTCATGGTGTCGTCGGAACTAGGGAGGGAGGTGTGTCTCCAGGGAGTTGGGTCAGGTGTAGATGGCGGGAGGGTTGGGGATGCCGTTGGAGGTACAGGAGTCGAAGATCAGCAGTCAGCGCCCCCACCGCTGATGGGGAAGCTGCGTCTTCCATTTTGTGCCGTCATCATTGTTCCTCAGTAGCTGAGAGACACCCGGTAGGTCCCCAGATGGGTTTTCCCAGATATTGAAATTTGGTTGTGGGCAGAAGGCAAGAGGATTGGGGTTGGGGGCAGCCAGGTACTGTGTGCGGCAACAGGGAGGACTTTGAAACCCTGGCCCTTCCCCTCAGAGGGTGCTGTCCCTCGTGCCTTGTCCTTGTGGTGTGGTCAGAACTAGGGAGGAAGGTGTGTCTCGGGAAAGTGGGGTCAGGTGTAGATGGTGGGAGGGTTGGGGTTGCTGTTGGAGGTACGGGAGTCCCAGGGCCTCTGGCAATGGCTCCCGGAGGAGAGATTCACAGTCTTCTTGGAGCCGGGGCAGAGAGTGTGATGGGCGATAAACAAGCCTCCCAGAAATGGGGGATCCTGTGGGGTTGAACTGTGTACCCCGAGATCTGTAGAGTTTCAGGCTGTGATGCACAATGAAGGGTGCCCATAGCGCTCTGTCATGACTTCTTATCTGTGTCGTGGGAAGTGAAGGAACTGCCACAGACAATAATGGAAGTACTGAGCGAGGCTGTGCCTTGCAGCACACGTTATTTTAGGGAAAATTTTACCTTGTGCATAGACAAAAGAAGTATGGGGCTGGCGCCGCGGCTCACTAGGCTAATCCTCCGCCTTGAGGCGCCAGCACCCTGGGTTCTAGTCCCGGTCGGGGCGCCGGATTCTGTCCTGGTTGCCCCTCTTCCAGGCCAGTTCTCTGCTATGGCCAGGGAAGTGCAATGGAGGATGGCCCAAGCACTTGGGCCCTGCACCCCATGGGAGACCAGGATAAGCACCTGGCTCCTGCCATCGGATCAGCGCGGTGCGTTGGTCTCAGCGCGCTGGCCGCGGCGGCCATTGGAAGGTGAACCAACGGCAAAGGAAGACCTTTCTCTCTGTCTCTCTCTCTCACTGTCCACTCTGCCTGTAAAAAAAAAAAAAAAAAAAAGTATGGACTTGGGATCGCATTCTTTAACAATATTTCCCTACAATCCTGTATTATGGGAAATCTGAGTGTTAATCAAACCTCATCTGAAATGCTTGATTTCAATTTCCATGTGCCTGCATGGCTTTGATGGGTAATTGGTTTGATTGGAAGATGTGCTTCTTATAATTGCTCTGTGACTTTTTCTAAAAGGTTTCAAAGTTTAAGTGCAAATTTTGCCTGGGAGTGTTAATCTTAGCTATTTTATTACATGCATTTTTCAAATCTCAATATTTTGTTTTTAGTGAGAAATATGAATGATCATTCGGAAACAAAACCAAAATCTAGAAAAAGAGTAAGGGAGCAAGAGACTTCCCAAGAGGTTGAACCTGTGGTCGTGAGTCCTTTAACTTTTTTTTGATGTCTTCTATGAATATTGATATTTTATAGCATTTTTGAATTAGTATGGATATACTGATCAAGTCTTCCTCCCAATATAAACAGTAATGGAATCAGTGGTTATGGAGAAATATGTTCCTGTGTTGCCTAGATCTGTATATTCCTTCTCTAACCAGATTTTTTCCATAGCTTCCTTCTTATGCTTCTTAATAATGGATTTCACAGTTCATTCCACCATAGATAGAAATAAATTCCAAAATGCTTCAGGGTAATTTTTGTTGGAGAAGAGATTTATGGAAAGAGTATCAATGTTGTTTTATATTGACATTTATGGGAATAACCAAAAGATCATGGAAATGGAATTAAAAGATGTTTACTCTGGGGATAAAATGAAATCATACTTTCTTTTTCCATTGAAAATTCATGGAAAGTGAGTATTTTGAAATGTATTTGTGCATACATTTCTGGTGCTTTAGAAGAATGCATTTTTGTACTGTGCATATTTCTGTTTTTAACTCTTTATTTGCATACTCACAACTCTAGGCCGAGAAGTGCAATGAACAACAAATTCCAAAGGAGCAACCACCATTAGAATGTGCAGATATTGCAATCGTTCAGGAGATTGAGTGTGAAGAAGACATGGAGATTGAAGGTGAAGGGCAAGGGAGCAAGAATGTACATGCGTGGTTGATGAGTATTTGTGCCTCATATATTATGGCATACTGGTAGCAGGTGGAAAGAAAATGCTAGAATGTAATCTCAGCTGTTTCCTGCTGTTGCTTTCAGGAGGGGAGGGGAAGGGCATCGTAAAAAGCCCCCAAACTTTACTATTGTTGTGATGGTTGATTAAGCATTTGCATGGTTGCTATACACCATTGAGTCTTTACCAGATTATGTATGATTTATTCAATCTCTGGTTGTGTGTGTGTGTGTTTGTGTGTGTGTGTTTAATGATTCTGTGGAATAATGATAGCTTGCAGATTCTTCATCTGCTGTTTTGCTGACATTTCCTGTATCCCTTAAGATATTTTGACACACAGCATTTATGGGAATATTTAAGTGACCTGATATACTAACTGCTGGCATTTCCAAGCTAAGGGAAGACTTGTGCCTAAAGCTCATACTGAAGTTAAACTGCCTCAAAAAGGAACTGATGTAGTATAATAAATACAAAAACAGGGAAATCTAAGTGGTCTGGTGGCAGCCTTGGAAAGGGAAAGGGCAGTGTTTCAAAAGTGATGCTTTCCTTGTTGCTGCTAGAAGACCCCTGAAATAATAAGCCTGCAAGCTTTTATTTTCTGAGGCACAGAGAATGAATATTATAGTTCCATTTCTCATTGCTCATATTTTACTTAATGCTGACAAAATTTTCTTGTTAAGTTCCTGATGTGGAATTCAATGAAGAAGAACAGACTCTGCTGAAGGTGGAGATTGGGCCCGAGGATATAGCTGATGACATTGATTAGAATGCCAAGTACGAAGGCCATTAAAATGCCAGAAGCAGGTGTGTTATTTATAAGATGCAAATTACAGAGTTTCTGTTTGTACAGTATTGTATTTCATGTAATATAGACATAATCTTACTGCTATTTTCATGACAAACATCACATGAAGATTCCTTGAAAGGTCGATCCTACCCCAAGTGGCTGCTTTATAATGTCAAAGATAGAGACAAATTGGATGAAAGCTATATGGGATTACAATATGAAAGAAATGAACAATGCCAAGACAGTAGATTATAAGCACTCTTATGTAAAATGACAACTCCTGATGTAATGTGTCTGGTTGTTAGAATAATTTAACCATTCTACAATAGACATATACTTGAAAATAAGTGTAAACAATTTTCTTTCTCTATTTGGATGAATAAAAGGTCAAATAATTTCCCTACATTTGATTTTTTAAAGATTTATTTTATTTATTTGAAAGACAGAGTTGCAGAGAGATAGAGACGGAAAGAGAGGTCTTCCATCCACTGGTTCACTCCCCAGATGGCCACAATGGCTGGAGCCATGTTGATCCAAAGCCAGGAGCCAGGAGCTTCTTCCAAGTCTCTCATGTGGGTGCAGGGGCCCAAGGACTTGGGCCAACTTCTACTGCTATCCCAGGCCATAGCAGAGAGCTGGATGGGAAGAGGAGCAGCAGACTAGAACCAGTGCCCATAGGTGATGCCGGCGCTTCAGGCCAGGGAGTTAACCCAATGCACCACAGCGCCAGCCCCAATAATTTCCCTGCATTTGAATATAATTCAGGGGAACAATGTTTAATCATTTTCAGACAGATTTGTTAAGGAGTAATTGCCAGAAATCTATAAAGTATTTATAATAATCAGTTTATATTTTAACATTTCTTGTTATAAAAATGGCTTAAAATTCATGTGGTGATTCGGTTTATTGTGTGATCAAAATCTGAAGGAGATACTACTAAAATTCAGAAAAATATTTGCCCCCCCTCCACGAAAACCTACATATTGGCTAACCTAGTTTAAGGAAACATTTTTTCACTTCTCTGCATGATAGACAAAATATATGTAATACTGACCTTTTTATTTCATTCATGCAGGTGCAGTCACATCCTATAAGCCTACACTGAGAATAATAATACACATTAAACAACTAGATTCTTGTATAAAAATGTTTTCTCTATAGCATTTTTATTGTTTTGGGGGACTTGGTGATTTATTTTTTCATATATTGAAAAGGCAAACTCTGAGAGATGAAGAGGGAGGGAGAGGGAGAGCAAGTGACAGAGTGCCCAAGCATTTCTGTTCTCTGCTTCACTCTGCCAAATGGCCACACGAGCTAGGTTGGGGCCAGGCTGAAATAAGGTTACAGAAATCCCATTGTGTTCTCCCACATGCATATTGGAAGTCTAAAAACTAGAGCTAACATCCACTCCTATGGGGCACATTAGCAAGAAGTTAGTGAGACGTGTAGTCAGAACTCTAGCAGGTGCTTTGATATGGAATCCCAGCAGCTTATCCTGCCACAATGCTGGCCATTTGTTTAGGTTTTGGGTCAAAGTATATAAATTTGTTGCTTTGTACTGGCAACTATTTTAAATAGAAGCATTTGATTTCATTTTTTTCTCATGGCAAGATGTTTTTCATTATTCAGCTAGATGGAGTGGTATGAATAAAAATATGGTTAATTAGCTGAAATCTACACAATAATTCTGTTCACAGGTTAGCAGGATGTTAACTTAGGGATTGGGTTTTAGTCCTTCAACAGTGTAGTGACCTTTTTGTAACTCTAGTTAGTCATCTAAATGAAATTCTGCTAAAAAATGTACCCTGATTTTATGTTTGTATCACAGTTAAAGGGCGACAACCATAGGTGTAAAAGAAGACTTATTGAAGACTGAAGCCACGTATGCTATTCTCATCTGGAAATGTATCCTCTCAATAAAGTTTTACTGCTTGCTGCAACTTAGATTTGCACATTTTATTAAATTTCTTCCTACATGTCAGATGCTCTTAAGGATCATATCCATTTGAAAACTTACATTTCAGTATTTCAGTTGGTTAATAGAGTTAATTGTATACTGATTTTCTGCCTAGCCATCTTGCTGAACATACTTATTCGTTAGAAGAGTCCCTCTCTTTTGGTCATTTATCACACATACTTATCTTTGAATAATAACTGTTTTGGTCATTTCACACCTTGTATCTTTTCTTATTTGTGATAGTAAACAGACCGCATGTATAATATGAATACAACTGGTGGTAGTGAAATCACTATCTTACTCCTTATCAGAAATGAAAACTTTACTCTTGATGAATATATGCTGAATTTATTCAAACAATTGTGGTCCCTCTATTCAAATGATTGTAGGACTTTTTCACTTCTTTATTTTGTTTTTTTTTTTGGGGGGGGGGAGGAATTAACATTGGTTACATTTCTACCATAAATCTCTGAGCCCCCAATTGAATCTTAATGTTCCAATACAGAAGGTCTGCCACGACAGACTCCCATCAGAATCCTTGCTGATTTGTGCAAATGCTCCTTATTTTTGTGCTCTCCAGATTCCTTTTTTGCCTGCAAAATATGGGAAGACAATGCAGTATTCAAAGTTGCAATGTATACGGTCACAATAAGTAAAACTCATATCTGCTCACAATCTGTACAGAGAAAACTGGCTTGACAGTAGTAATCTTTATTTGAGGAACACACATAGAGGGAACAATGTTGATAACTCCTGGCTTTCTTCTGTAGGTCAATGATGATGCCAATATCCTATCAATCTGGCTTATGCCCACATCTGTTTGATGAGCAACAGGACATAAAATTCTCATTGATTTCTTTCCTTTACTGTTTCCCCCCTCAGAATATGGTAGTGCCAGCCATCAGATTGGGCAGTGCTTATTGAGTGCCCATTTATCAAACATGAATTGTCAGCATTTATTGTGGAGTGCTCCCTGTTTCCCCAAGCATTGGCAAGCTCTGGGGTTATGAAGGCAAACACATAGTATATTACACAAGAAAAAAATTCCTTACACATGGGTTTTAAAAGTACTTTTGATTTGGTGGAACTAGGCAGGATGTTAGATAGAGATAAATTATCTGGGAGATTTCCCAAATTGTCTGTTTCTGTATCCATGCATTTTAACTCCACCTTGTTAAATGCCAATCCAGTATGCCCACTTTTTTATGATGCTCCTGAGTCTCATCAGAACTGGGAATGAAGATATGCCGTTCGGAATAGAGGTTAAACTTACCTATTGGTGCTATGCAACTCCTTGAGAACCTCACATACACACCGAATCCCACAGAAACTCCATACACTTTCTATACTCACTTTGAGGATGATCGACGCCCCACCACAAAAAGGGAACTGCTGCATGTAGGAGCAGTCATTTCGTGGTTTTGACCATCTTGTCTTTTTTGGCCCCATTTGTTGCCTTCTTCCACAGGTTCTTTCCATGTTGGCAGCTTTCTGGACCTCATCCTGCATATTTCTCCTCATGGGGTTGCGCACATTCACACATGGATTTATTCTCATTCTTTAAATGAATCCGTTCTCATGTTTTCATTGCATTTATGCCTCTGTGTTGAGTACATATTTCAAGAAATAAATACATGGAATAAAAATCGAGATACGTTGTCCCACAACATAAAGTGGTGAGTGGTCACCTAGTAGGAATCAGGAATCAGCACCATAACTGCACCAAGTGAGGGCAGTTTTTGAATGCATTAAAGTATTATAGCCCATGTCTCTGTCGCTTCATGAGGCATGCAAAATCTGCCACTGTGCTCTTTGTAAGTCTTTTATGTTCTACCTTTTAGCCTCTGGTTGTGTCTCTGAAATAGAAAACTCATATTTCTGTTTTCCCTAATAATTGGTGAATTATTAGACTGGAAGCTCTATGGTGCAGTTAAGAGTGAAACATGAGTCCATGGCGGGAAATATTTTGGCTGATTCCAGTGCCTTCTACAGAACAAGGGCTTCCTTAGGCTTGGCTGCTCAAAGGCAGCCACTCATGCACAGTGTACAGGTTCTCGCTGCTGGCTTGCATTATGTTTCTGTAGCTAGCTCCTTCTTAGGGAGGTGCTGGCTTCCAGGGTGAAGCCACCACTGCAGCCCTATCCCACATGGTCAACTTAATATTTTCCCTTGCCTGTTTTGAGAATGCACTTTCTTAACTTCTCCTCTCTGCTACTCCCTGGGAGGGAGAGGTTGGGTAATGGAGATGCAACTCCTATAAGTTACTCCATTCAGCTGTGGTTGGTGGAATGAGATACCCAGTTTCTGGTTTTCAGTCTGAGGCTGGTGGGATGACAGAGCCCATCTTTGTTTAGTTCCAGCTACAAACACATATTCACAACCTCTGCACCTGGGGTATGTGACATATTTGCAGAGTGCACTTTGCCGTATCATCCAGTGCAAACAGTGGTTTTCTTGCCATCTTTTTTTTTTAAAAGATTTATTTGAAAGGAAGAGTTACAGAGAGGTAGATAGAGAAAAGTCTTCCATCCACTGGTTCACTCCCCAAATGGCTCCAAAGGTCAGAGCTGAACCGATCCAAAGCTAGGAGCCAGGAGCTTCCTCCCAGTCTCCCACACAGGTGCAGGGACCTAAGCACTTGGGCCATCTTCTACTTCTTTCCAAGGCCATAACAGAGAGCTGGATCAGAAGTGGAACAGCCAGATCTCGAACCTGCACCCATACGGGATGCCAGCACTGCAGGCGGCGGCTTTACCTCCTATACCACAGCACTGACCCTTTCTTGCCATCTTAATGGTGTTGTTGGTTCAGGATGTGGCTCAAAGCCCTGACATGGCAGATAAACCAGGTTCAGGTTGATATCCACTCCTCAGGTAGTCAATGGAGGGCATTCTGGAATGGAGTAGTTGCTGACCCAGGGAACATAGAGGTCTAGTCTGAGTTCCTGTTCTAGGGTTCAGCATACTACTGGTCAACTGGGGTTTGGTATCTGTAATGAACAACCTCCCTCTCCTTGATTGTATGGTCAACTTTGAAGCCTTAGTAGACCTTGGAGATAGGCTTTTAGTTCCAACATTTGAAAATACATGGGCATGGATATTAGCTATGGCATTTGAGAACACTTGAACAAGAATATTAGTTTGAGTGTTTGAGCACATTTTGATGCAGATTTCAGCTTCAACATTTGACAACTCTTGGTCATGACAATTATTTGCAACCTCGGAGAAAGCATGTACGTGAGTTATTGCCCTGAGGTACAAGCCAGAGCCCAGGCACCATGAAGCTCTAGGACCCAAGAATACCTGGAAGCAGTCTAATGCTTCAATAGGCAAGTTGATCCCTAGGCATGGTAGCACCCCTTGGTATTCCAATATTCCAAAGCCCTAGGAACAGAAGTGAAAGTCCATGGAAATATCCAGGACATGGGCCATGTGCTTAGCAAGTCTGAGAAGTGATATCAGGTTTACATCAACCTTAAGGGGGCCCTGGAATTGGACAGAGGGTACCTTGAGGTAGGCGATCTTACTAACATAAGGATTCAAGCCAAGTACTTGAGCATAATTAGGCTAATGCAGAACAATATCTACCTTTCACCTTCTCAAGTTATGGAGAGAGTTGCAGGCTCTATTATGATCCTGCTCTCTCAAAGATGAGGGGAGAAAAGAAGTAATCAGTATGTTTGATGACCCTCTCTGTCATGATCTACCCCAAGATCAGTGTGCACCAGCATTGTGATCATTCCCCAGGGATGTTACGTCCTCTCCACACTCTCAGTACCTGACTCTTCTTTAACTCCTTTCCCAGAATCGCTTTCTATCTTTCAAACCATTCCTGTTGCCCTCTACCAGAAAACAACCTGACTGGATTTACTTGCAATTGGGCTCCGTATCTGCTGAATACAAATAAGCTCTGTATTCCAAGTGTGGTAGAAAATTGAGATTCTGGGACAGTTAGTGAACGTGACTAACATAACAACTGATCCCACTGGACACCTTGTTTATCCTGCAAAGGAGAGGGGATCTTGTGAAGTGCTAGTGAATGCCATAGGTGGGGCACTCTTTGGGATTGCATTCTGATTGTTTGCATGAAATTTTCAGTTCAAGGAGGACTACAAGTTGTCCTTCTCTTTAACCCCTACGTGCAATGCTGAATTTGTCCAGTGGATCAGATTAGAAATACACCAGAGGAATTCAGAAAAAACTAGGGTAAAAGGCTTAAGGTCCTTTAGCAATGGGATGGAGAAAGTTAAGGCCAATGTGAACTGAATAATTCTAAGAAGGTCCAGGTCACTGGCACCAATAAACACCCAGAAGTGCAGCAAGCTTTTCAAATTCCAGTGAAAAAGACTGTGGAGCCTTTAACAATCACTTTGTCTAGCAGTGTGAGAGACCTTAAAGACAGTTAGAGGCAGGTAATCTTGCTAAGCTAACAGAAAATTTTGTGGTATGTGGAGTAGTTCCATAAACCCTTTGTTCAAAGTGCTGTGACAGCAGCTACCACAGAAAGAGCAATTTGTGAGCAACAGCAGCAGAGGTAACAGAGGAGGCTGTTTGCCAGCTGAACAGTACTTGCTCAGCACTGATTCATATAGCTACTCGTACAGTTTTAAACTTCCTACCATGTTAAAGAACACAAGAGAGTAATGTAGGGATGTCAACCAGGTTTCTCCTCCTCAACTCTGTCACTTCTTTGTACCATGCATCTTTGGGCAAAGGATGGAGTTTCCTAACTACTGACCAGCAACTTTTTTGATACCATCCTCCCTTTCACTGTAACTTGGGCCTGGGCTCTGTCCAAATCTGATTGTTACACCCTTTGCTTCTCTGCTCAGCTCCAAGAGTCCAGACTGAGAAATGTCCACTTTGGTCCATTGATTCAGCTACCTCTCCACTCTCTTCTCCCATCCCAGAAAAGTGACCAAATCCTAGTGTTGTCTGGGTCTGACACAGCCTCTGTTCCCACCTCTGCTCTGGAGGGCTTTGT